AGGCAATTCTCCTGCCTCAGCCTCCTGAGTAGCTGGGATTACAGGCACACACCACCATGCCCAGCTAATTTTTTTGTATTTTTAGTAGAGACGGGGTTTCACCATGTTGACCGGGATGGTCTCGATCTCCTGACCTCGTGATCCACCCGCCTCGGCCTCCCAAAGTGCTGGGATTACAGGCTTGAGCCACCGCGCCCGGCGGTATTTCCTCATTTTAAGGTCCAGGACAACATTATTTTTACTCAGGAACTCCAATGAGGTAAAGTGGTGCCCCTCAGTGCATCACACATGCTATCAAAATAGTGATTTCACTCGCCTGCCAGTTTTCTCCATTGCAATGGAATGACTTAGGAAGGAATACTTTTATTCTGATCATCTCAGAGGTCCTCTCCTCTTTTCATGTTTGTATCTGATAAGAAATACAGATTTTCAGACTTGAGGAGGGAGCTTTCAGCTGAGTTTCCCAGTTACTGGCTACTGCAGAAGACTCATGTTTGAGAAACATCAACTGTTGCTCTTGCTCCTTGCTCCTGCTTCACCCAAGTCAGTCCCCATGAGACCCAATGTGTTCTTAAGGTGCTTGGTTGTCCAGGCTTCCTGCTAATGTAATTAGGTTTTCTAGTCCTTTGAATTGAGTCTTGAGTCTCTTATGTTCTTACCAAAAAGGAACACAGATGGAATTTTAGTGACTGAAAGCCCACAGTGATGGCACTTTGTGTGATTGCTGCAGAGTAATGACTGCATAAAAAGCTGAACAGATTTGTACTTCAAGGACCCATGGGCTGGGTGCAGTGGCTCACGCCTATAATCCCAGCACTTTGGGAGGCTGAGGTGGGCAGATCACCTGAAGTCAGGAGTTCAAGGCCAGCCTGGACAACATGGTGAAACCTCATTTCTACTAAAAATGCAAAAATTAGCCAGGTGTGGTGGTGCTCACCTATAGTCCCAGCTACCTGGGAGGCTGAGGCAAAAGAATTGCTTGAATCCAGGAGGCAGATGTTGCAGTGAGCTGAGATTGCACCACTTCATTCCATCCTGGGCAACAGGGCAAGAATCTATCTCAGAAAAACAACAGAAGGAAGCATACGTTGTTAGACAGTGGGCTCCATTTTGCAATGGAATGACAATTTTCCTTTTGTAATTAATAAACATCTCAGGGAGATGAATAGGTATTTAAGACAATCAAGGAAATCTGACTATAAACTGAATCCAGACGATAGCAAGGAATTATTACGGTTATAAAAGAAAAAATCCACATATTTTTAAGAGAAGCATAGTTTTTAGAGTATGTAGGATGATGTGGATTTTTTTTAATTCAGAAAAAGAGGGCAAGACAAAGAAATAAAGAAACAGATAAAGCAAACATGACAAAATCTTGATCTGTTAAAAGCTGGGTGAACGGTGTATAGGTATCACTATAGTTTCGGTATTTGAGCCCAAGTGTGGGCTGAAATTTGATCCCAATGTTGGAGGTGGGGTGTAATGGGAGGTGTTTGGGTCATGAGGGTGGATCTCTCAAGAGCAGATTAATGTGGAGTGTCGGGGTGTGACTCAGTTTTCACTCTATTAGTTTCTGAGGGAGTTGGTTGTTAAAAAGAACATGGCACCTCCCTCCCTGTCTTGCTTCCTCTCTTGCCATCTAATGCCTGCTCCACTTTGCCTTCTGCCATGAGTGGACATGCCTGGGATCCTCACCAGAAGCAGGTGCTAGTCCCATGCTTCTTATACAGGCGGTGGAACTGTGAGCCAAAGGGGTAAGTGGCAATTTAAATAATCGGGAGGACCCCATGACTTCCACACAAAGAACAAATGGCAAAAGGTGAGAGTGAATTTGAGGCTTTGTAGACTGATTTTATCAGGGAAGATCGAGGCTGCAGTGAGCTGTGATTGTAACGCCTGCACTCCAGCTTGGGTGGTAGGGTGAGATCCCATCTTGAAAACAGACAAACAAACGAACAAATAAACAATGAAGCCAGATGCACTGGCTCATGCCAATAATCCCAGAACTTTGGGAGGCCAGGAAGGAGGATCACCTGAGATCAGCAGTTTACGACCATCCTGGGCAACACAGTGAATGAGACTTGGTCCCTACAAAAAATGACTAAAATTTAGCTGGGTGCAGTGATGTATGCCTGTAGTCCCAGCTACTTGGGAGGCTAAGATGGAAAGACTGCTTGAGCCAGGACATCGAAGCTGCAGTGAGCTGAGATTGCACCACTGCACTCCAGCCTGGGTGACAGAGCAAGACCCTTTCTCTAAATAAATAAATAAATAGGTAGGTAGGTAGCTCAGACATGGTGGCTCATGCTTGTAATCCCAGCACTTTGGGAGGTCGAGGTGGGCGAATCACGACGTCAGGAGTTGAGACCAGCCTGGCCAACATGGTAAAACCCCATCTCTACTAAATATACAAAAATTACCTGGGCGTGGCAGTGCATGCCTATAATCCCTGCTACTCGGGAGGCTGGAGCAGGAGGAATTGCTTGAATCTGGGAGGCAGGGTTTGCAGTGAGCCGAGATCGCGTCACTGCACTCTAGCCTGGGCAATAGAGTGAGACTCCATCTCAAAAAATAAAAATAAATAAAAATAAATAAAATACAATAATTGCATGGGGCAAAGACTATAGCATGCTGCTATTCATGTATTAAAAAGGAGATAAGGCTGGATGTAGTGGCTCCTGCCTGTAATCCCAGCACTTTGGGAGGCTGAGATGGGCAGATCCTCTGATGTCAGGAGTTCAAGACCAGCCAGGCCAACACGGCAAAACCATGTCTCTACTAGAAATACAAAAATTAGCCAGGAGTGGTGGCACACACCTGTAGTCCCAGCTATTCAGGAGGCTTCAGGATGAGAACTGCTTGACCCAGGGAGGTGGAGGCTACAGTGTGCTGATATCACACCACTGCCTTGCAGCTTCAAAATAACAAATCAAACCCCAAAAAACCCAAAAACAAATGAAGAAAAAAGAAGATACAATAAAATATACATGTATTGTATCTGCTCATTTGTGAAGAAGAAATACAGGAAGGATAAACTAGAAACTAAGGTGTGGGCGGGAAGATGGTGGAAAAAAAGAGAATGAGAAGGGCATTGCAGGGGTGACGAGGGAGTGACATTTTGTAAACCTTTCTGTACAACTCTGACTCCCAGAACCATAGTCATGTTTCACATCCTCATTCCAAACATACATACACACAATCAATCAAGATGTGGGAGAATCCAAAATGGCATCAAACATTAGCAAATGAACCTAACTTAATTGGACATGATCACACTGAAGGAGGTGGGGAAGAAAAGACCTAATCTAAGTTACCAGTATCTTGGACTAGGCACTGCAAGGCTAAAGACCAAAAGAGCTATACATAAATGCTATAATCTACTTAGCAAATGTTTCTCCCAGGGGTTAGAAATTCTGAAACTACTTTATGTGCACATTACATATGAACAAGGCCAAGTATAGTGGCTCACTCCCAAGACTCCGGGAGGCTGAGGCAGGATGACTGCTTGAGCCCAGGGGTTTGAGACCAGCCTGGGTAACCTACAAAGACCCCACCTCTAAAAAAATCAAAAAACAAAAAAATCAGCTAGGTGTGGTGGCGTGTGCCTGTGGTCCCAGCTACTCGGGAGGCTGAGGCAGGAGGATCAGTTGAGCCCAGGAGGCTGAGGCTGCAGTGACCATGACTGCATCACTGCATACCAGCTTGAGTGAGACCCTGATGTCTATAACAAAATAAAGTATAATGTGAAATAAAGTACATATATTGTAGATAATTATCTATCTAATTATTCACATATCCCACTGTTGGAGAAAGACGTTACAAATAAGGAAAGGAAGAAGGCTGTCATCCAAGGTATCAATATAAATTCAGTTATGTGTGTACTTGCGGGTTTGTACAAACTCACACATGCATTTCCTACCTCCGACCACTGAGGGAGTCTAGAAGCAGTGACGCCTAATAACAGTACACCTAACACCTAGATATTAATTACTATTTATTACTTAAAAAAATATATGGAATGCTTCCTGAATTTGCGTGTCACTCTTGCATAGAGGCATGCTAATCTTCTCTGTGTAGTTCCAATTTTGGTATATGTGCTATGGAAATGAGTGTCTAGATGTTAACTTCTAAACAACACGCTCCAGTCAAAGGAACCAAGGCTCAGTGAAGAAGTAGGCCTGAGGTACAGAAAATATAAGATTGGCCAGGAATACCTTTTGATGCCTCAAAGTAAGTATTTAAAAAAACAAAAAAGATGCAGTTTATCAAAAGAACACAGGAACCAACTTTTTGAAGAAGCTCCTACTGGCCAAAGCTGGAATAATTTAAACAACAAAATAATCAAAGTATTGGATTATATTCCCTGGAATAAAATAAGTACCTGTGAGTCCATACTGATATAAATAATCAATTAAATAAATGGAAAAGGGAAAGAGGAAATAGAAAATCACCAAACAACACAGTAATAATTGTGGCAGACAATATTCACTGATGGGTGCTAAAATCAGTAGATATAAGTTTAAAAACAAACAAGATATTTGCATAGATAGACTTGATGTATTTTGCCTAAGACATTTATTAACAATAAAGGGAAAGGCAGTAGCTTTTTACAGTGGAGAAAGCCAGCATAATTGCCTTAACCAAACGATCATAGTCAACATAACCATTAAGACCTACTGACATCATGAATCCTATGAGATGATACTATAAGACGACATGTCTGTGTTATTCTTCCCCAAACTGCATAACTTCAGTCTGACCATGAGAAAACATCAGGCAAATCCTCACTGAGGAATATCCAATGAAACAACTGATTAAAACACTTAAAAAATATCATGGTCATGAAAGTTAAGCAATGGCTTTGGAACTGATAAAGACTACAACAGACTAAAGAGAAATAATTGTGAGTGGAAAATTGCTAAAATTTGAAGAAGGTCTTTCTTTAGTTGTGTTGATATTTACCAACATTAATTTCCCAGCTTTGGTAACTGTACTATGGTTTTCTAAGGTACTATCATTAGGAAAAGCTTTATGAGAAAAATTGTATTTTTGGCAACTTTACTGCAAGTTTAAGATTAGTTCAAAATAGAAAAATGAAAAAAACATATATATGTATATAAAACGGCTGGAGCTTATAGGAACGAACAGAAAAGGAGGTTATTTCTTGTACATTCTGGATGAATCTAGTTAGAGATGGGGTGAGGCAGCGGTAAAAGACTGAGATGTACCCCTAATTCTAGATTGACAAGGCTGATGATGGCAGTTCAGAGTAACCCTGCATCCATATGATCCCTAATACTTTACATACCTCGATCATGTAGGGCTAACAAAACGCGTTCATACAAGCAGGCTCTGTAGAGGTCTCCAGGAATAGGTTTTCCTGCCCAGCAGTCAAGTTCCAGCTTCTCGGGGTCAGGGGCGTGGGGATCAGGCTCAGCTAGAATATACCGATAGCCATCTTTGTTAAATGGGTGTTCCAACGGGTAGCCATGAGGGGGAAGGCGCTGAGCAGAAAACAAAGGGTCACTGCAGAAAGGAAAAAATAAAATCAAGAATCTAAAACCCCCTCTAGCTCAACTGCATACAACTGTGCAAGAAAGGCCTCTGATTTAGAACACATGCAACTTCACAGCAAATACTTCTCATTACTCAAATAGATCACTCTGCCCTCTTCAGGCAAAACAGGGAAGTGAAAGGATTAGTTTTATTGGGCAAGGTAGTTTTGGTTAAATTATTTGCAGCCTGTGGGGATCTTCCTGGTGGTCTTTAAGCACGAATTGAGGTCTATGAAACTGAGCTGGTACATCCTAGTGGCGTGAAGGGAGAAGAGGAATGGGGGTGATTAGGGTGATGTTCTTCAGTATATTGATTATTATAAAATAATGAAGAGAAGCTCAGAGACCTAAGCACTTGCTATCTTGCTAATCGAAATAAGTAACTTGTGCAGTGAGTTGAGATCCTGCCACTGCACTCCAGCCTGGGTGACAGAGAACTCTACCTCACAAAAATAAATAAGTAAGTAAGTAAGTAAGTAACCTGGATTTCATCAACTCAGCATTAGACAAAGGGAAGGGAAAAGGCATGAGAAGGGAGAAGCAGAAAGTGAAGGTGCTAACATTCAACACTGGTTTTACTCCCTCCCCACCTATCCTTTCTCAAGTTGCCTTAAACAGAACTTCACTCCCTAGGTTCCCCAGGCTTATTACCAGAAGATGCTGTCCTTGTTACTATTATAAATTTTGTACTAACAAATTTATAAAACATGATACTTAAATTGGGTTTGTTCTGTTTTTCTGAGATGGAGTTTCATTCTTGTTGCCCAGGCTGGAGTGCAACGGTGCGATCTCAGCTCACTGCAACCTCTGCCTCCTGGGTTCAAGTGCTCCTCTCACCTCAGCCTCCTGAGTAGCTGGGATTATAGGCACCCGCCTCCAGGCTCAGCTAATTTTTTTTTTTTCAGTAGAGACGGGGTTTCGCCACATTGGCCAGGCTGGTCTTGAACTCCTGACCTCAGGTGATGCACCCATCTCAGCCTCCCAAAGTGCTGAGATTACAGCACCCGGCCTTGGGTTATTTTGTTTTGTTTTTGAGACAGTGTTTCACTCTGTTGCCCAGGCTGGAATGCAGTGGCATGATCTTGTCTGACTGCAACCTGCCTCCCAGGTTCAAGTGATTCTTCTGTTGTAGCCTCCCAACTAGCAGGGATTACAGGCGCTCACCACTACACCTGCCTAATTTTGTATTTTTAGTGGAGACGGGGTTTTGCCATGGTCAGGTTGGTCTCAAACTCCTGGCCTCAAGTGATCCATCCAACCGCTTCAGCCTCCCAAAGTGCTGGGATTACAGGTGTGAGCCCCCACACGTGGCCTCCAACCTGGGGTTATTTTGTCCCTCAAAATGCTCAAGGTTTGGAAATAATGGACAGGCTTTTTAACCTCAGACCCTTGACCTCTTTTCCCTGTTGGGCTTTCCCAGCACCAAATAATACTTAAATAGTGAGGTGGGACAGGGTGGGCACTCTCCCTACCTCCGGGCCTTCTTGGTGGTCCCTGTGGTCCCTCCATCCTGCTGTTTGCGCTTTGCTCCTCGTCCTTTTCCGCTACTTCCTGCCGCAATTCCTCCTTTGAAGAGAAGGCAGATCACTTTCAACGAGCCATGAGAGAAGCATCATGTGGATACTGAAATTCCATGAGGACCACACACCCAATGTGCATTTGCGTAACACCACAGGAGGATTTCCTTCCAAAATCATATTGGATTTCACTCTGGTTTTGAAAGAATCTACTAAGCCTCTCACAGCCCAGGAACACTGAGTTCTGGCAATAAGCTCAAATGAATCCAGCACTAGTGATAGTTGGGTTACAATTTTAACCTTTGTTCCTAATGAACTACAACTATCAGTATACTCTGAGGGTGTGACACAATGCATTTTCACTCATTCAGATCCAAAACACCCACAGAAAAAAAGAAGGAAAATAACTGTATGGGTACAGTTTTTTTTTTTCCCCACCCAAATTAATACAAACACCCATAAAGAGAGAATATCCTCATTAGAAGTCGACGTTCACTTGCTTGAACTACACAATATAGTCCATAAACATCATAAAGGCACAGTATCTGCTAAAGCATTGAAGTTGAATATCCAACAAGACAACATACATACAACATGGAAAACAGAAACAGGAGTACTAAAAAGGTGTTTCTCTCCAGTACTGCTAGATCTCCATTGTGGTTACACATGACACAAATAAGAAAGAAGGCTTTCAATTTGGTAGGCAATTTTTAGTTCCATACCCATTTGTCAACACAACATTAAGACTGTGCCAATGCACAAAATTCAGGTTAGACTAACTTGGCTTGTGGAACTAAAAGCAATTAATATGAATAGACAATTTGCATATTTTATACGAAAAATTTCACTACATACTGAGGCCACAAGGAATATTACCTTGTGTATTTCTGAAATAGGTAGTTTGAAATTTTTGTTTGGTTCTATCATTCCTCTCAATTAGTTTTGTTTTTCTCTCTTCCAGAAAACGTCCCTGAACTGTAGGAAAACACCTTTACGTAAACAACTGCAGAGAACTAAACCTTAATTTGGGGCAAGCTTGGGAATTACTAGCAGTTCTGCTGCAATGAAAAGGATCAAGACATTGAATGAAGGTAGGTCATATTCTGCATATACAGGACCAGATTTACGCAGAATTTCCTTTGGTGAATACCTCAGATGTTGTTCCTATTTTTCATAAAGGTTTAATGTTAAATTGCTGCAATGTCCACTCTAGTTTAAGTCACTGTAATCTAAAAACAATTACATTTTTGTTTTTTTGAGATGAAGTCTTGCTCTGTGACCCAGGCTGGAGTGCAGTGGCACAATCTTGGCTCACTGCAACCTCTGCCTTCTGCGTTCAAGCGATTCTCCTGCCTCAGCCTCCTGAGTAGCTGGGATCACAGGTGCCTGCCACCACGCCTGGCTGATTTTTTTGTATTTTAGTAGAGATGGGGTTTCGCCAGTTGGCCAGGCCGGTCTCAAACTCCTCAGTTGATCTGCCCATCTCAGCCTCCCAAAGTGCTGGGATTATAGGCGTGAGCCACTGCGCTCAGTCACAATTACATTTTTTATTGTCATTTACGTTTTAATTATTTTAAGAAGTTTCAGATCCATCCAAAACAGGACAAACAATACAAAAGGGGGGTGGCTGGCCATGTTAGGCAGAATATAACAACATACAAGCTTTTAAATACTAACATTAAACTCAACTACTGTTTCATATTAAGTGCTATTGCCGCCATTTTCACAATGCTTTAAAATTATTTGGTTTTAGCTTCTACCACAACTCAGCAAAAAGCATTTTCCAAACCACAAAATACTTAAGTCTGAGAGGCTGAAAGAAGACAGTGGAGGAATTCACCTCCAAAAGTGGCTCCACCTGTAAGAACAGAAGTGGTACCATGTATTTGTCAAATTTTAACAATTAAAAGGGGGAAATATGTTGTAAAAAGATAAACAACACACCTAGCTATTTCCAACCCATCTTAGAATAGTAGTAACAGTAGAAATGATCAGATATTTAAGATGCTACCACTCCAAAAGACAGGTTAATGATGCCATGTATCAGATGAATAGCTAAACATCTCTCAGCTACTCCAACTTTTATTAGATAACCGTTAGTAACAACGGGTTTTCCCGCTATTAGATGGGTTAACAGAAAAACAAGCTGCATGGGTGGTTAACACAGAAATGCTATCACATGAATTAGCTGAAGTTTCAGGCAAGAAAAATTAGAAGATGGGCACAGGAAGGCTGTTAAAAGTAACAGCTGAATTACAGAAAAAGAGTGGAGAGCAGCTGAATCTTTCTAAATTAAATGTTAGTTATAAGAATACAAATATAAACATGGCAAATCTGACCTTGAAATGGTTCCCTGTTTCATGCTAAGCCTGTCTCACTCAACACCAAACTGTGTTGTAAAGCGACAAAAAGTTTTCCTCTATTAGTAACATCTGCCAAATCCTTGGCTAGCTCCTAAAACTTGAGTTTGGGCTATAAAAGCATCTTAGTAAGAATCCAGGATAAGGGCCAACCCAAAGAATGGCTAATTCTAGGCACAACTGGATTCAATAGCTTCAAAATATTTCAGCAATGAGATATGTAAACACTTACCATTTAGATTCCCACTAGTAGACACAGCACTGCTCTGTTTTTGGTTGTCATAAGCAGGACCAATGTTACTAAGGTCCTGCAAAAATATATACCCAATTAAAAAACGAGTCTACATAAGTCAGTCAATCTGCATGCTCATAAAACAAGAGAAATTCTAACAGAATGGGAACTAAAATTGACAATTTTTTTTTTTTTTTTTTTTTTTG